AACATATTTCCCTCTTCCTCTCAACGATTTCAACCATATTTTAACCCTATATAGTTTCATCTGCTTGTCGTTCGTGTGAGCGGAATAGGCTACTTTCTCGCCCCTTGTAGGGCATCAGCTGGTTTATCAGAGGCGACAGAACATATTTGACTTATATAGCAACTGTAAATTATATTATTATATTAATTTTCGGGGGGGGGGCATGCCAAGCACCCCCACTTTGCAACTTCTTCCTACACTTCTGCTTATTAATTTATTTTCTGCTCTCATTTAGGCCAAAATATGACAATGGGTCAGCGGTAAGTTTACGAACTTTGAACTTTAAAATCCGGGGTTCTATTCCTCGTTGTGGACAGATAGCCTATTATTGTGTAGCTTTGTCATAAAATGACTAAATCATAAAATAATTAAAGGTCCCGGTGAGTCAGCGGAAAGTCTAGGGGTTTGTGAGCTAAAATTCAGGTCTCGATACCCGCAGTGGACAGAGCACCGATATCTCATTGTTTAGCTTTGTGCTGGACAACAAACAAACAATAATTAAGAAACAGAAATATCAAAGAACAATACAAAGTCGCCTTAAAGATTGACTTTCGAGTATATATTTTTAGCTCAAAAGTGCATTTAAAAAGATAAAATATTATTAATTTTTGTTCAATATACGTTGTTAACTTTGGTAATTTGATTTGACTTTATATACAGATGAAAAACACTTATGAATCTCTTCGTATATTCTTTTTGGTTGGTAAATGTATTTTTATTAATACTAAACAACATGATTTTAGAGCTGCTACAAGTGAACATTGTTGATTATTTTACTCTATACTTGTACTTCTCAGGTGCTGCTGGTCTTCTAATATCTACAAACCGAATCTTAACAAAAGCTCTACTGGATGACGAGAAGTTCAACACTGTTCTGTTCTTTTGCATCTCTATCGGAATAGTGCTCTTTTGTTTCACTATCCACTTCGTTCTGCAGCGAACTGAGTTTGTCAAGTTTTATGTAAGTCTGTGTTCCAATTGTACAGACGATGACGATCTTACCAAGAGAATCACGCTTGAGCCAACGGAAGATGTAGGCCTAGTAAGCAGATATTTGTTTTTATGGTGTTAACAGATGTTTCAGTTAGATTTATATTATATTCTGGCCTGAAACAGTCAAATTTGACGGTTACTGATATATGTTTGTTTGTTTGTTGTTGAGTTTTTCGGAGAAGGGGGGGGGGGTGATATTAGCTTTCAGAAGATAGTAAACAACTGTCTATTATTTTCCGGGGGTGGGGTATTAGCTTTCAGAGGATAATAAAGTAAGTAATTGTGTATTATCAACCTTTCTGATATTCTCTAATCATAAGTATTTAGTACCCTAGTTTTTGTTTCTTACAACAGTATCGAGTTTCTTGATTTACTGTATTTTATTCGTTTTAAGAGCTAAGTTGGTTGCAATGTGCCTTACTAAAGGCCTCCCAGTGGCAAGTCTGAAGGCTTATAACGCTAAAAGCCGGGTTTTGATACCCATGTGGGCACAGCACAGATAGCACATCGTGTAGGTTTGTGCTTAACTATAAGCAGAGTTTCACTGAACGAATCGAACGCAGAATGTTAGTATTATAAGCCCCCCAAGTTTACCGTTGAATCGTTGGGAAGTTACTTTGCTGTCATTTTGGTTTAACTAGTGCAGTGAGTGAGCGATGCATGACTCTTTTACAGTAAGTCAACAGTAATAGGAGTTTAAACAAGATATACACTAAAGCAGAATGTCCATCTACACGGATTTACAACGATAAAATCAGGGGTTTGATTCCCTTTGGTGGGCACAGCAATATTTTCACGTGATTTTCCTATAAACACACACACATACACACTAAAGTAGAATACTTTCTTATAAAAATACAACAGCTTTATGAAACATTAGATATAAGCAAAAGTACCCGTCCCCAGTGGGGGAAAAAGTTTAAGTTAATCTATCATTCTAAATTATTTCATGAACTTTACAAAGATTAATTGTGTTGCACTTCGATTTCACTCAGAGCCAAAGCTCTGAGCTACTTATACTGCCCGCCACAAAAAAAGTAATTATTAAGCATTTCAGTCATGTTAAGAGCCACTCAACAATAACATACGGTAAATCTACATTTTTATTCTTTAAGTTACTTCACATTTTGAAATGCGAATGATAGTGTAATTGATTCCTAATAACTTAGTGTAGAATTTCCTGCTTGAGAAATATAATTTGTCATCAACATTATTGCCATTTTAAAAGTGAATGTTGAGCTTTACCTGCGTGCGCAGCTTTTTAAACAGGAGACAGACACCACAGTTCGCAATATATAAATATACGATAAAGACAAACTGTATTCTATGGCGAGTATGTTGTATTTCTCCTTGAGGGGGTGGTCAGTATTAATATGAGAGCCGACTCCCGAATTACATTTTTGTTCAAGAGATATTAAGACTGTTGATTCTACTCTGAAGCATAAATTAAACGGTAGTTGGAAATGAAACTCATTATTTATTCCGAAAATTAACTTTGTTGCATATCGCATATCAACAGTCATGATGAAATACTGTAGAACGGTATAAAAGTTTGTTGTCGCCCCA